AATATCTATGCAGCATGCAAAATACTGATCATGACTCGGCACCCCCAAGACGTTTTCCGAGACCCGTTTGAAAAAAAAAGCAACTACTGTTCATTTCTTCTAAAAATAAAACAGGAATTAGCTGCCCCCCCCCCCCAGAGGGGAGCAGCCAATTGCTGCTCCCCACTGTTACAGCCTATTTTTAATCTAATTCGTGTTATTGCCGATGAGCGGAATTGATCTCCAAAATAGTGTTCTTTAGAAAAATACTCAAAAATAGTGTTTTATAGATTTTTTTTTTTTTTTTTAAGTTGATTATGGTGCCCCAAGAAGTCCTTACGATCTTATCACAGAGCACCGCGGAAGAGCATTTAATAGGAAGTTCACGCCTCCTTCCCAACCGATGTCGCAAAACTTGCGCAGAGGTGGGGTTTGAACCACGGATCTTACGTTTCTGAAGCAAGTGCGCACAAATAGATTCACTATTACAAGTAGTAAAAAAGTTTTGAAAATGAAATTTTAAAAAAAAAATTGTTTCTTTAAATACTAAAAAATCTAAAGCAAAAAAAATTAATTCATTTAAAGTTTTTGTTTCAACATATTAAGCTAATAAAATCATGCTAATTTCAAATAATAGAATTCGAATAATTTGTAAATTGCCTTAACTACATCAAGTTTAGAAAGTTTCGAAAAACTTTTTTGAAAAATATTTTTTTTTTTCAAATCTAGTAATGGAGGACTTTTTTTATAAATTGATGGTCGTGACCCTCGTCCCCCCACTTTAAAACACGTGTTGTCAGCTTTGAACTGTATATACCCTGGATCCGTGACTATTTATCCCAATGACTAAAATCCTTGCTATCACTATAAAACTTTGTAGCTTCTAGTACTAGTATTTCTTAATTACAAAGAAGAACCTTAAATTCAGGTCACAGTGCGAATGCATCTGCATAGTGCTGAGGGCGCATATGATGTCAGAGTGTCTGATTTCCCTGAACTTGACCTGTTTCCATGACTTAATTAATAATTACAAAAATTCAACTTCAGAAAAAAAGCTCTTGATTTTTTTCAGAAAAACACTTTGTTATTGCATTAAAATATATAAGTCATAATAATAAAAACAATAATTAAAAAAATAATAGGTCATCTGTCCACATTATGTACAGATCTATCAGTCTTGTCTATTTAACTATTTCCACTAAGTTCTATCAATCTTGTCTATTTAACTATTTCCACTAAGATAACCCTAATTATTTATTTTTTTGCAGACATCTGATTTCCTCGAAGTTTCTCTAATTTCTGCATGTGATAATAGTGCCTAGGTATATAAAAGTATAACAATGTCAAAGTTTGTATTAAAAAAAAAAAGATATTATGTCAAGTAAAGAAGTTCTAATTTATTAAACAATCACAGATATGAATTGACATTAAAAATAAATAAAGACCTATATAATAGTGTACTGCTAATAATTATCACCATGTTGTTGATAATCCTATATTAATAAATGGTGACACTCCTACTGAGTCTTCTACTTTACGTCTTCTTGGATTACATTTTTGTAGTTACCTTTCATGGAAACCTTACAAACAGTTCCGAAGTTAGCATCAGCTAAGATTGTCATTCATTACCATATGCTCACCACTTTTTCACTCCTGATTTCTACATATTTAATTGTCCCTGTATGGAATACTGTTGCCACATTTAGGCTAGTTCTTCAAAAGATTCTCTTTCTTTTAAATCACAAAAATAATTATAAATAAAGTTAGACCTGTTTTAGCTTCTATGCTTGACCCAGTGTCCCATGGTCGTAATGTTGCATCTCTTTCTCTTTTTTAAAATACTATTGTTCCATGATCCAAATCTTTTTTAATTATGCGTGACTTATCATTCAGAAAAGTCGCTTGGTTTAAATATAGAAATAATGTTATTGCAGCCTCAGTGAACAAATAATTTTAAAGTATCTTTTCCTTCATGCTCTAAAAACTTTTATTCGTCTAGTTTTTTTTCTTAGCACAGTCTTCATTCAATCGCTTTCTCGCTCTCTAACTTTACTCTTTGTTTTCTAAAACTTTTAACTGGAATAGTAGTTGAATACATCGTTATTGAAAGTGATTTAGATTTTAAAAAATCAAAAATAAAGATGTATAACTTTTGTTTACCATTTGTTATTTAATTAGTTTAATTTTTATTTATTTTTCAGTTATTTTATTTTATTCTACTTATTTTGTATAAATACTATAAATATATATATATATATACAAACATGTGTAAATTATATATATATATATATATATATATATATATATATATATATATATATATATATATATATAAATATATATATATATATATATATATATATATATATATATATATACAAACATGTGTAAATTATATATATATATATATATATATATATATATATATATATATATATATATATATATATATATATATATATATATATATATATGTATATGTATATATATATATATATATATATATATAATAAAATAAATGTATATATATATATATATATATATATATATATATATATATATATATATATATATATAATAAAATAAATGTATATATATATATATATATATATATATATATATATATATAAAGAGAGAGAGAGAGAGAGAGAGAGAGAGATATACAAACATGTGTAAACTATATATATATATAATATATATATATATATATATATATATATATATATATATATATATATATATATATATATATATATATATATATATATATAACTAAGATGATTCTCAAACAACAATTCCAATTGAAATAAGTTTAACTCTTTTGAAAGGGACATTAACATTCTTTAAATTAAGTTTGAAAACTATTTTCTTTGGTTTGTCTGATGTTAGATTTTGGTATAAAATATGTTTACTTTGTTTAAGTAAGGCCTAATTTTTAACATTTAATAATTCAAATAAGTTTAGTGCTACATTATCAAAAAGAAAATTTTAAATTATCATTATTATTAAAAAAATGATTATATAAAAAATGGTAGACTTTTTATGCTTTAGTTTGGTGTCATAATGTATTTTCTAAGTATAGTTACTAAGATCTTTATAATATATTTTTATACATAAAGCTTTATAAGATAGTTTTCTTTTTTTTTAAGATCTCACTAAAAATTAGAGTTAATAAATCAGTTGGATTAGGCAAATCCTTTAGTTATAATCCTGTTTTTACAACTTCTATTTTTTTGTTTTTTTGTTTTTTTTTTTAGTTTTACATTTTTTGGTCGTATTAAAACTCTATATATCAAAAAAAAAAAAAAAAAAAAAAACTAGTAATATAAACTTTCACAAATATAAAGTAATATATCTGAAAAAAGATCAAAAGATCTTGTCGTCAGAACCTTAAATAAGTTCAAACAAGCATTAACAGCATCAAATCTTTACAAGTTTCATATATATATAATCCAAATATATATTATATAATCCAAAGAGAGATCACACGGATCTCTTCACCAACATTTTATATAAACATATACGTTAAGTAAAGAATATAAATCAACAAAATATGTAAAATTAAACTTTTTACAAATGCAAATAAGAAAAGGTAAAGTTATTAATTCATATTATTAATAATAACATAATACGTCATCTAATGGAAAATTTAGGGTTTTTACTTTACTTTTATAAAAACGAATAGTAATGGGTAGTTCAAAGTCAAATTTGGGCAAAACAATTTTATTCCAAAGGTGTGGTGCCCGATAGGCAATACAAAATTGATTAAAGTTCGTTTGACAGAAAGGTTCATTTAAAAAATCAGCATTTCTTAAATTGTATTTGTTGATGGGTTTCGGAGTAAAAATATCTTTGAAGACAGATTGAGACAAGTCATTTTTCCACATGTATACAAAGCATAATATTTTAAAAATTGATGTTCTAAAAAAACTCTTTAAGCTTTGTTCATCGGGCCAACATTAGCTCAATGAAGTAAAAAGATGCTGATCTAATACTGGTAAAAAAGATATCAACAAGAAATCGGGCCAACGTCCTTGTGTTATCTGGGTAGTTATATAATTTATTTCATATAAATAAATAAACATATACAACTTTCAATAAAACTAAAAAAAAATAATTATTAGTAAATATTTATTTTATTTAAATGCGTTTTGCTAATATAAATTTGATAACTAAGATAAATCTATAATTTTGGTCGCGTTTTTGAAATGTTAAAAGCTGTGGTGAACCATCAAAACAGAAAATTATTGGCGTGGTCATATAATTGCGTGCAATCACACGTCTTCCTGATCAAGACAAAATTTCCAATTTATTTTGTGCCAAAATAACTTCAACGTGGATTCCTTTTTAAGCTTTTTGTGTTACTAACCGATTTTTATCATGCTTTATAAAACACAGTCTAATTGTGTTAAAAAACCATTTGACTTTTTTGTAAACTATGCATTACAGAATTTTGAACAGTGTTTGAAAAACTCTTACAACATTTCTCCTTCAAAATTTCTAAAGAAAACCTCTTTGCACAATTTATTTGTATACTTACCAACTGTACTTTCTTAAAACCATATGCGGCTGTACTAACATGCCCGTTAGTGTCTCTACATACAAACAGTCTCTCGTTCTCTTTGATATTTTTCAAAACAATACCAAGAACGATGTAGAATTCTTGAAACTTCTGTCCTATCGGTTTATGGTGCATTCTAAGTAAAAAACTTATCAATTTTTCTGCTACAAAAATATCAACATTTGACTTTTTTGCTTTTCTTACACTGTCTTTTTCTTTAGTAAGGTTTTTATTTTTATGCTGAAGACTATAAAAACTTTCCACATTCTTTAAAAAAAACAAGTAAAGCAAACTATTTGCATCCTATGAGAAATAATACCGCCTAAATTAATCCGATTTTTTTCCCGAAAATTTAAGTGCTTTATTGTGTTAATGATATTAGATAATGTGTAAGTGATAAATGTTTGTTCTTAAATATTAAAGTAAAGTTCAAACAAAATCAGTAAAAATAATAATTTACCATAATCTTTAGAAGTTGCTAAAAAAACGGGTATAATTTCCTCAATTCCGATACCAACAACTCCATACAACCCGTAGAGCATAACACTTAATAAACTTTCCTTTGAACTAAATTTAAAAAAACTTTTTATGATTAAATTAATATATCTCAACATTATATTAATATCTTTACATAGTTTTATTATCAGTCGCAATAAAAAAAAACAAAAATTAAAAAAAACTTTTAAATACGCCTTAAAAAACTTAAAGGCTAAATAATTGACATGGTTGTTTACAAGCGCTATGTTTAGGTACGCATGCGTGATGATATATATATATATATATATATATATATATATATATATATATATATATATATATATATATATATATATAATATATATATATATATATATATATATATATATATATATATATATATATATATATATATATATATATATATATATATATATATATATATATATATATATATATATATATATATATATATATATATATATATATATATATATATATATATATATATATATATATATATATATATGCTTTTGTTACCTAAATATGCAAATATATTTTCGCTGTGAAATTCTTTGCAAGTAATATAAAAAAATTAGTTATGATGCAAGTATGCATTTTCTAACTGTATAAGTGCATATATATGCATATATAAATTGTTCAAATGCATATATTTGCATATTTATATTTAAAAATTAGGGAAATTCTTAGCATAAGAGTATTTTTTTTTTATTGCATTTTTTTACTTTTTTGCTGCAATATTCAACAAACTTAGTACAAAGTATAATCAAATATTTTCGTTTAATAATAATCTCTAAGCAATTTAATTTGAATAATAGTTTTTTTTATAATATTTTTAGTTTTTAGTAATGTTAATATTGATTTGATTTATTTGACTTACTTATTTACAGTTGAACAAAAACTGCAAAGTGCAAAATATAAACAACTTTTTGACAGGAATAGCGTTAAGTCCGGAACATCTTCAACACAGTTCTATATTATATTTGCAGGCTGATCATTATTTGTATAATGCTTTTGTGACATAATTATTATAGATTATTTACTAAATTAGTACAGAGCAAAAGTTTCATCTCCGACCAGTCTTTGCATAACCTATGTAATAGATGTAATAGATTTGCATAACCTATGTAATAGATGTGCAAATCTTGTATTGAAACTGTTTTAAAAATTATCAATTTTTGTTTGAGAACGACAATTGATAAAAAAGAAGCTTCTGGGAGATCACAAATGCTATAATTAGAATATAGCATTAAGAGCAAGAAATCAAACAAAACATTTTAGGCAGATGAACATGTGAAATTTTATGGAAAAAAATTTAGGAAATTATTATGTTTTTTATTTCTGCTACACCATACATAGTGCAGCAGAAATAAAAAGCAAAACAAAGACATTTCGTTTTTTGTTTCTGCTACACCATTGCAGTTTTTTATTTCTGCTACATCATAGCAGCATAAGCTTTAAAAAAAGATTAAAGAAATATATTTTAAATATTTACACTACACTATATACTTGTTAATATAAGACAGCTTTGTATTAAAATATATAATTTAATATAATATATATATATATATATATATATATATATATATATATATATATATATACATATATATATACATATATATATATATATATATATATATATATATATATATATATATATATATATATATATATATATATATATATATACATATATATATATATATATATATATATATATGTATTTATATGCATATATATGTATATATATATATATATATATATATATATATATATATATATACATATATATATATATATATATATATATATATGTATTTATATGCATATATATGTATATATATATATATATATATATATATATATATATATATATATATATACATATATATATATATATATATATATGTATTTATATGCATATATATATATATATATATATATATATATATATATATAATATATATATATATATATATATATATATATATGTATAATATTTTACTGTTACATCCAGTACCAGGAATTAGCTAAGTCACTAATATTTATAATATAAGAACAAAGTTTTTGCTACTAAAAATTAATTTTGTTTTATAGGTTTGATAATATACTTGTTTGTCAACTTGCTTTTCGTGCAGCAGCCTCGTTTATTGAGGTTTATGTTTTGGAGTTATAGAAACGGTTGTAACTACAATAGTAGCTCCCTTGCCTCTAGTCGGTGTAGAGATGAATAATTAAAAAATTTTTTTTTGATGATAAATACTTTTTACTTATAAGGTTGTCCCCAAAAAACAATATTTTAAAAATATAGCTGCCAACTTCTAATGTGTTTTATATGATAAAAATTTACTAAGTTTAAAAACTTTTTAAAACCTTAAACATATAACGAGTTGCTAATTATATTCCTAAGTTTATAAAATATTATCAATTTAAAAAATCTTCAAAAGTGTATCTTGACATTTTGTCTCAAATTAAGCGAAGTCATGAAAAAATCAAATATGATAATTATATTATCAAAAACTTATTGAAAAAAAATATTGCCAAAAATTAGTAAAAATGGACATTTTTTTTTTTTGTTATTAAAATTCATTTTTTATGGTGTTAAATCTAACATGGAAATTTTCATATAATTTTGCATCATTTGAGACCCAACATGATACACTTAAATAATTTTTTTTTTAATATTATTTCTTGTTATGTTCCTTGGGGGTTTCAAAGGAACATAACAAGTTTCTAAGGGTCTTGAGGGAGTCATCTTGAGGGAGTCATCTTGTCTTGTTGAGGGAGTCATCTTGAGGGAGTCATCAATACTTTTTTATTCAAAAATGTTTAAAAAACAGTTTTTTTTTTTTTAAATAAAACACATTAAAAATATGTTAAGCATAATTAAAACACATTAAGCATATGTTGTTCAAAAATGTTCTTTTTGTGAAATTCCTATTAAATAATAATATTTTTTTTTAACTTTAGATAAATGAGTTTTATGTTAATGATATTTTTCTTGTCATTGCTTCAACTTTATTTTAATATAAAAATTTACTTATACTGTTATGACTTTTTCCTAATATATTGATGCGTTATTTACTTTTATTATTTTTGTTACAATTCTACAGTCAGATTTTTAGAAAAGTGTTATTTGCTTTTATTATTTTAATGAAATTCTACAAGTGTTTTTTACTTTTATTATTTTTATTAAAATTCTACAGTTAAATTTTAAGAAAATTGATTTTAAATTAATAAACAAATCTATGATTTACACTAAAAAGGCATTAAATAAAAATTAAGTTTAAGCGCGCAAAGATTTTTGTTACATCTATTTATTTAAATTTTTGTGAAATTTTTGTATTTTTATATTGATTTACGTTAAAAATAAGGCTACATCATTGGCTTTTCAAATATTAATTAACAAATAGTCTGTTGCCATATAAATGTTCTCTGCAGTTAAGAACCGTAGCCATTTTAAAAGTTCAAAAGTTTTTCGTATTTTCTTACGCATGCGTACCTAAACATAGCGCTTTTTACTAATATCTAAACGACCGTATTTATTTATTTATTAATGCCCGTGTCTTCTTATGTTAGACTCTAGGCTTAATACGGCAAAAGTAATAAGGCACATATAATAAGGCCTAATACGGCACCTGTAATAAGGCACGTATCTTCTTATGTTAAGCTTTAAAGCCTAATATTTAATTTATTAATTAATGCTTGTGTCTTTTCATGTTAACTACGCAATTTGCATTAGGGTAGAGAGGGACATATCGGGGCAGTGGGACATAATAAGACAGTTATGCCTGAATCCTTATATCTCAGCTAAAAATAAATTTTTATCACAGAATTTTAATGATAAAACGGTTTTAAATTATTGTGATTCATTGTTAGAAAAATTTTTTTTTAGAGGCACCAAAATGCAATGAAAATTCTAAAATGCATCAGAAAGTTTGCTAAAAACAAAATTTGCGTATTTTATTATGCGATACAACGACAACATATTTATCTTGAACTATTGCTAAATTGCTTTATTACAAAAAGTTTATATTTTCCAGACAATATTTTCTATCCTTTTTTGATTCTGATTTTTAAAAACATATTTGGAATTGAACTTTTTGAAGAGTTTGATATTTAGTATAATAATTTTTATGGGGCATTTCGCGACAACAAGTTGTTTATATGAATAATTATATTACTACCATTTTGTTGACAGTTTGATGATTTTATTTTCAATCTAAAATATTATTTTCATTACTTAGAAAAGCATTATTAATAATTAATTCAAAGAAATTCTTCTTTTTATAACATAACTACGATTGTTAATAGTGTTCAATGTAAACAACAATAGTAAGAAATTATTTAAGATTGATCAATCGTCCATATTGGGATAAAATGCAGTTTTAGCTGTGATTAAAAGGAACTTATAATTTGAAAAGCTGTTGATACCTATTGTATATTTAAATTTGCTCTATATTAGCATACTGATAATAAGCTAGCTCATCAAAAATGTTAAAAAATAGTTTTAGAATAATTTTGGTGTGATTTATGAAATCCATAACATTTTTTGTTTAGTATTAAACAAATTTAAAATTATAATTTAAAATTATACAATTTAAAATTATAATTTAAAATTATACAATTTAAAATTATAATTTAAAATTATACAATTTTAAATTTAGTAGTTGTAACATTTTAATAATATATACTAGTTTTGCCCTACCTAACTTTTAGAACAATTTCTTAAGTTTGTTTTTTTAGGAGTAGCTAATAATAAAACATAAAAAAAAAAAATTTAATTTAATTTTTTTTTTTTTTGGTGGTAAATTGATGTCTAAGCGTATAACTTGTATGGGCATGATAGTTTTTTAAAATGGTAATGTCTGAACATGGTTAAATGATAAATAGCTTTCCTTTTTTTTTTTTTTATTATTTTTAAAGCTTTTCAGTAAACAAACAACTGCTGCTTTTTCACTGTCCCGCTTTGCTCCACCCACTTGATAAACGTGGAAATTATGCTAGTCTAGAGTTTCGTTACTTTGGTTGTCACAGCTTATTTAATTTTTTTTTTTTTTTTTGGT